CGTAACCCGCTGTGAGTGCCCCGGCTGGTGACGTCACGGTCCGTCTCTTCCCCGTGCATGATGGTACGAATCGCCAGTTTGATTTCTTCGATTCTCGCAGAAAGACTCTCAACCCGACGATCTACTTATTCGATTTGGGCACCGAGGCCCTCGGTACGCCGCTCCAAATCCTCAAGACGAGCATCGTGTCGGTCGTTGTCGTTCCTTTTTTGCGGCATCTTGAATCGTTCTGGTCTGCTGATACCAACTGATGTAGACTGTGAATGACGAAAGAGATAAAAGAGATACTCTCTCTCGATAAACCACACAAGAACAAATTTTTATTTCTCAATCAACTGAACGATCATTCCATCAATACTGATAATAAATAGAGTTCCTAACTTGATAAACAAGAAGTAAATATTCTTCTAATCAAGATAGAAGATTATCCTAACCAACTCAATAAGATAATAATAATAATAATAATAATAATAATAATAATAATAATAATAATAATAATAATAATAATAATAATAGTAATAATAATAATTAAGTTAATGCCGAAAGCCGGTCGTATTTGTCCAGGAAAGCCATCGCGAGCTCGTCTCCATCACACAACATCTACTTTATTTAAATAGAACAATATCATCCAATGGGATATGGATACTTATTTGTTTTCTCTTAATTAAATGTCACATATAGCTACATTGATAAATCTCAATATAGTAATTCTTATGTAATAGTGTTCATACAATAGAACGTAGGTGTTCCATGTAAAATTTTACACAAAATATCCTTTAGTTAAACATGTACACGACAATCTAGGGTGGTATGTGAGAGAGAAACACACAATCTTTTTATTGTTAATTCCTTTTTTTTTTCTCTGGTGAAGACGATGCACGACAGCCGTGTGGTGGGTATTTTCAAAGGGTGTTGATATTTACCGCATCCTACATTGACTATTTTGCCCTTACTAACATTTAATAATAAAAAATTCAATATTTTTTTTTTAAAAAAGAAATAAAAAAATAAGAAAACATTATCACATATTAGAACACCAATCAAAACAAAGGAAAAAAAAACTAAACCAAACTTGAATAAAAAAAAAAATCTGAAAAAAATCTGAAAAAAATCCGAAAAAATGGCGGGACAAACTATTATTATTATTATTTTGAGATACGTTATAATTCATTATTTTTGTAAAATTATTAACATATATCGTAACATATTGCAGGTGTCACTCGAAGATTTTGGAGGAGACGGTGAAGATTATCGAGCTTGTTTCGCTACAGATGAGTTATTTGATAATCCCGATAAAGCTATTGAATGGGAAAAAGACATTGCAATAATATGGGATTTCAACTTGGTAATCTCGAGACACAATAAGGATGGAACGATTCGGACGTTGAGGTGTGATCGAGGGGAACGTTACAGGGGCAAGGCAGGAAAACTAGAAAATTTAGTGAATGTTGTCTTGAGACGTTCGAAGACGAAATATACTGGCTGTCTTTTTCAGTTAAATGTGAAATTTGAAAAGGTATCCCAAAAATGGTGTATCTGGCTTCCTTTAGAAGACGAGAAGGGATTTCATAATCATGCGTTGACTGTGTATCCCGAGGGTCATCGACAGATCAGCAGACTCAGCAATTCATCCAAAGAGATTATCCGTGACATGAGTGATGTTCATGCAAGACCGACAGCAATTTTGGCTGCAATTCAGGAGAAAAACCCCGTGGACAACGCTACTTGCCAACAAGTTTATAACTATAAAGATCGATTGCGAAAAGACCGTATGGGGGGTCGAGATATTGCTGGCCAGCTTCTGCATTTGGCTACCGACAGCAACTACATAGTTTACACAGACGTTGACCCGAACACACAGGCGTTGACACATGTGTTCATGTCGCATCCACGAGCAACCAGTCTATTCCGAACATATTATTGGTATGTCGGTAGAGATTCCACGTACAAAACCAACATGTATGTTACATTACTTTATAAATCTATATATATATAAAAAGATTAATTAATCGGTCAAAATAAAATTTGAAATTGCATGTCCCAGATTTTCTTATAATTTTGGATTGGTTGTAAGTAAGGATATTTGAATTAAAAAAAAAAGAATAAAATTGTCAACAATTGCGGCTTCAGTTGTCCGAGATTCTTACAAAAAAACTTCGGTTGATGTTGTTACAAAACAAAAAGGAAATAAATATAATAAGATTCTATTAAAAAATCAATAAAATTTGTAAAAACAAAAATCGGTCAAATATTATTACATGATAGTTTAATTAAATATTGTTTTTGAGATAAACATTCCAAATTGTTTACGATATTTATTCACATTTTAATTAAATAGTGTTGATGATTCGAAATTGTTTACGATTTTTATTTGCACAGGAACCAGATGCCGTTGGTTGAGATGATTGGAATGACGCCGTGCAACAAGATCTTCTTAATTGCTTATGCAATTGTGAAGGACGGGACCGAGTATAGCTATGACTGGGTCCTACAGCGGTTGAGACTGATGATAGAGTCTGATAAACAGCCTTCAGTCATTGTCAGTGATCGGGAGTCGGGGTTGATTACTCCTATTCAGAGGAATTTCCCAACGACGCCCCACTTACTCTGCACGTGGCACATCAACAAGGACGTGGAAGACAAGGTCTATCGGCTGACGTACAAAAATAAGATATTCGCGCAGAAGTTCACGCACGGCAAGTGGAAGAAAGTTGTTGAGGCGAACATCATCATCATCATCATTACCATCATCATCATCATCATCATCATCATCATCATCATCATCATCATCATCATCATCATCATCATCATCATCATCATCATCATCAT